TTTTTTTTTCCTCTTAGAAGAAAAATACTTCTGGTATTGACTTAATTGAAAAAGGAAACTGCAGCCTATTGATTTAGTAGGAGTCAGAAGCCCAGATGAAGCAAACTTCTTTTCTGCTGTGAATTTGTCACTAAGACTGTGCTGTATTCTTTTTAAATTTAATTTATGAAATATCATTGAAATTTGGAAGGGTTTTGCAGTGACTGGAACTCAGCAAGAAGTAGAAGTTTATGGCCCCTAACAAGAACAAACAGGACCAGAAAATCCTTCATGTTCTCCCAGCTAACCATAGAAACAGCCATTTTTTTTCCTCTTCTAAATAATCTCAAGGAAAAGTTAGAGAAACATAAATTAGAAGGACTGCCACTGATTTATTTTCCTGAATAAAAAGGACATTCAGTAGCAGGTCATTTGTTTTTGTTTTCTTTCAAAGAGTAAATGGAAACATATTCTTACCTCACTTTTCTCACAAGTACAGTAGATTTCCTAAGCTTGTGTCAAGGTTTTATTGCCAGGAAAAAGTGGTTGGCTATTCAGCATTTGTAATGAGGGCATCATCAGACATGGAATACAGCTGTCAAGGCTGGTACCTTCATTTTCTAGGCATGGGGCTGATGTACTTAATGTTCTTTGAGTGGCACTTCACCACACCATTAACTATGACCCGTTTTGCACCAGAAACCTTCCTTTGCAGGTAGTTTTTGGTGAAGGTGTATTTCTGAATAAGAAGGTGCCAAGACTTGATGCATATGCTGAGAAACCATGTTGGGTTTTCAGAGAATAGGGAGTTGTATTTAAACACAAGCACTGAATGAGCTGGGCTGTAGCAGACAGGGCCGGGGGGATGCTGAGCTTGGTTTTGTGGTCTGTGGTAGTATTGGCTCTTTCAAAGGAAATAGATGTCAGGAGGGTTTTCTGAGTAGTAACAGAAGCACTGAGCATTCACCCTCTGACAAATGACAAAGTCCGTATGATCAAGTGCGTTACAAATAGGACTGGAAACTCCTGAGTTCGCCTTCTGGCTCCATCCTTGACTTTCTTCTGTGACCTTAAGCAAATCATTTGAACTTCTGTGAGCCAGATTCATTGCTCCTGTAATTCTATTTGATATAGTAAATGAGGAAGTGTATGGCCCTATATATCTTAATTTTCCTATCTGTAAACGTGGGTGAATGCTTTTGGTATGTAATTATTACCCAGGGGTTCTGAGATGTTTCAGATCTGTACAGCCCTTTGATGTTAGCAAGCCTATTTGTTGATACATGGAATATCTGTGTGGTAAGAAGTCTTAGAAAAGTTTGAAGCTTTCATCCAAGAGTGGGTGGAAAAACACTGTATGTATATTATATATTTAATCTTGGTTTCAGCTTTCTTTTAAGTGTAAGAATTTGCCTATAATCTTTTGTCCAGCAATTACATGTGTTCTGCTGAAAGACCAAACAACTTCTAGAACTTTGCCATGTTAAAAACCCCCAAAGGTTGGCTTCAACATTGAAAAGCCCTTAAGAAAGTTGGTTCGACTGCAGTACCCCGGTTACCTACCCAGCTGTTAGCAACAGCGATAAGGGTCATGTCCATGATGCTCTCTGAACACACTAAGTACAAGCTCATTTTAATTATTCTCAGCTCTCTCCCAGTCGGGAGGTAGTTGGTGTTGATTTGGAGCTGCAAACATCTTGCTATCGTATAATTTGGCTGCCCATGTTTGGTTGGGCATCCCTGGGGCAGTAGGACAGCTCTTTTGTTGTTTAATCTTGTGAACACAGGAGTTGCATGGTGGGCACTCTTGGATGCCCTCCACATTCATGGCTGTTGGTGGCTCCTGTGGCATTGGGAAACTGAAACAAGGGGTTGTCAGAGCATGAAACCTCTGGGACTGTATGTATCCCATGCAGGCCATTTCCTTATGGAACATCTAACACACATGGTATATTGAGTTATCATAACTTACATTTGTGGAAGAAAGCACCATTGGAAAGCTGTTGAGAAATGTCCCGAAGCCCATTGTTCACAAAGAACACTTCTGGAAAGGTGTTGTTATTAAAAGGCCGGTATTTACAGTAAATGGGCCTGGCAGCTCTGGGTAGATGTGACTACTTAAAGCTTGTGGCATTCAGCCTCCTTGCTAGGCATCTGTAGAGCATGGCCCAGATGCTCTTTCCAGTGCTAATGGCTGGTGCAAAGCAGGTGACTTGCTGGAGTGGTTTAGGAGCTCTACACGGTCTCATGAGGCTTTGGTTCTCTCCCAAGCTTCCCAACTAATACATTGCATGAGAAGTCACTTTTTCTTTTCTCTCTGGTTTGCGTGGGGGCTGCAGTATCTCAGTGTGCAGTTGCAGGCTTTGATCTCCGTTAAGCAATGTAGACAAAGGAGGAAGAATACCCCACAGTGCTGCAGTTGGCTGTAGTGTTGCTGCAGCAATGGAGGTCTGGTTGGAACGCAGGTTTTCAGGGGCTTGGAGCACATGGTCGTGTTGCTGTGAGATGCAGAAGCCATGGTGATGGAAAAGACACCTACTGGGTCATTCATTCTGTTGGCTCTCGACAGAATTATTGCTGGTGCCACGCTCACACCAGAGCCCTGATCCTGTCGAGTTTTGAGTAACTCCAGCCCTGGTGCTTCACCATCTTTTACTTGGGAGAAACCAATTCAGTGTCTAGTAGACCTGCTGGGTAGGAAACTCGGACTCAGTTGAGTCCTGTAACTGCTGTGTGTAATTCCTTGAACCCCTGAAACAGTTCCACCTCTCTCTTGGGTGGCTGTGCGACTGAAACCACTCGAACTTGCTAAGCCAAGCTCTTTAGTCCCCGTTTTGGCCCAGCTCTTTTGTTGTTTAATCTTGTGAATGTGTCCCCTTAGGCCCAGAGATCCCCTCCATAGCTGTCAGGAGAGATCAGTCAGAAAAATACAGCAGGGACCTGGTCTTCCTTTACACTAAGCCCTTTCTTATACTTGACTGACTGTGTAAAGGGTCCTTAAAAATGACCATATTGTGCTGTATCTCTAATACCAATTTATAAAGGGAGTATTTTCACACAGTATAGTAAGCACCATTGCATTAAAAATACACCTTAAATCCCTGCTTCCTGGATTCACGTGTTTATCAACACATGATACTCCTATTCTTCACTGCTGTAAAGGGAAGTTTTAAAGAGAAGGTGGAAAACTAAAGTGGCATCTTGAAAGCTCGAGGGTCCATTAACACAAATCATAACAAAAATGTTGGGGTTTACTCTTTTTTCTTTTCTCTTGAAGCTGGCAGCAGTTACTGGGTTTGCCATGTTGGGGCACCAGCCACCAAGCTCTGTCCTCCCCACTGATGCCACCACAGGGGCTTCCTGTGGTCATCTGGAGATGACACACAGCCAATATATTTGTGATATATACTGGGTAACATGAGTAAAACGTTACTGAACTCCAGTTGGAACCCAAAAGATTAATAAAGGAGCAAGTTACTGGTGGACATGCAGGATAACAAACCATATGTATTTGTCTCTTGTTGGTCAGAAGTTCATCTTCATCTCTATGTAGGGCCTTGAGAAGAGTGTGAGTCCAATCCAGGGGGTTGGAACTGGATGAGCCCCTTCCAACCCAAACCAGTCTGGGATTCTGTGAATGTGAGCGTTTCCTAATGGCAGCTTTTATAAAGCTTTTACAGTACCATTTATGATTTTAGGTCTAATACAGTCAGGTTTAATTAGGCAGAAAGCAGGGCATGGCTTTTAAATGCTGCACCGGACCTGAGGTTTGCAGAGCTTCAGTCTTTTGCCTTTCCAGAGGCTCTCTGGGAATACCTGAAAATGATTTCATGTCCCAAGGTACCCATTTTCCTTCTCAGCCTGGGTTCATACTGGACCTGGACTGTCATTCCTGTGTACATTGGTGATACATTGTCTGGTGCTGGCCCAGCCCACTGCCTGCTAGGGGCTCGAGGCACCCCTGCAGCTTTCAGTAATTGCTGTATGTGTTATCCCACACCCTCCCACCAGAAAGGCTTGTGAAGAGCAATGCTGCCTACAAAAAAAGTTGGCTTTTAGGATGCTCACTAAGAGCTGAATTGTATGTGAGTTCCCCATCCCATCAGAGCCCAAAAGCAAAGCAGCAAAGTGTGGAGAACACTGAATCTACCAGGGACATGTTGTATCTCTGTTTTGCATATTTGGAATCACTTTCTCATTAATAGTACCTTTAGTGAGCCTTAAAATTAACCAATAAAGCGATCCTACAGTCAAATTAGAAGTAGCCTAATTGCAGATTGCCCCCATTGGACACAAGAGGAAAATTTTTCACACTGAGAACAATCAACCATTGGAACCATCTCCCCAGGGAGCTGGTGGATTCCCCACCACGGGACACTTTCAGGTTTGAGCTGGACTGAGTGCTGGGGAAGTTTGGACCAGATGATCCTTGAGGTCCTTTCCAACCTGTGATGCTGTGATTCAGTGAATCCACCTCTGTGCAGAAGGACTTTACAAAGACCTTTGCACCGCTGAATCCCCAATGAAAGTTTGAGGAGCCAGGTTCTGATGTCCAGCAAAGGGCAGGAAAACTGCAGCAGTAACTTCAGCAGGATGGGGGTGTTGCCTGCACCAGGTCTCAAGTTAGCACTTTACCTTCTGAGCCTTAAGAACAGTAAGTCACCTGCTAGGCCTTGAGAGTTAAAAGCAGGGATCTGTGAGCACGCTGAACCCTCAGCAGGGCTGGTGAGAGCAGCAGGAAGGCAGCAGGAGCATGCTGGGGGAGCTGGGCAGGCAGATGGCTGAACCCTGCACCCCAGCGCGCACGTGAGCACGTGCGGAATGACGACTCGGTGATTTTAGTCCAAAACTATGTGCACTTGGAAGCAATGTCATTTTCTGTCATGGATCTTTTATCTGAGAGTTGGCACATTGCGCTGCGCATAGAAATGAAGAAGATGACTTGGGGCTCTCTTCTGTCGTCACTTCCATGGTGTGTAACTCAATATTTTGTTTATTTATGGGAAAATTCTTTTCTGCAGCTCCACAAAGTTTGTGCGAGAGCAAAGGAAGCATGAGGAAGGAGAGGGCCAGGCCTCTCCACCCCAAAGTGAGAGCACTGCAAAAACAAAACCTGGCACCCAGGCTGCGGCTGACTGAAAGCATCTTTCATTTGTGCATTAAAGCCAACGAATCCCTGGCCTCATCTCTCCCAGCTTACCCTCGGCATCAGCCGGCGTGCCAGAAAAGTATGGGCCATAGGAAAATAAACTGTGTATGTATGAATAACTCTGATCTACCAGAAGCTAATACCAATTAAAACGTCTCACTTGTATCTGATGATTGCAACACATCTCTTCCCTGTCCCCTGTTGGCTTTAAGCGGTCCCTTGTGAAAACAAGAGAAGTCTGTGTGATTGAGTGGGTACAAGAGATAAAACCATCACTTTTGCACTCCATTTGTACACCAAAATGCAGCTGAGAATCATTCCAAGCTCTGTGACTGCAATGTTTCAGTGGTGTTTGGATTATCTTGCTATAACGTGTCCTTTCCCTTGTGCAGCTGAGAGCGTGTCTCTGTCAGGTACATTCCTTTCACAAGGATGAGTTCCACATTGCATTGAATGTTTTAGGGCAGAAAAGTGTAGGTAAGGGTGCCAAATTATTCCAGGTGGTTAGATTGGATTTCTAGGCACAAGGCTGGGCTGGTTAATGGTCTCTGAGTGTCACTGTGCCAGACTAGTAATGACAGAGGCACTCTGCAATTCCTGCCTTCTTTCTGTCATTGCTTACAATGTTTGAGAATTCAGATATAACCTTAGGGGGATAAAATGCTTTGGCTTAGGAGAAAGGCTGATACGGACAAGTCACAAAATCTTAAACTGAGAAAGAAACATTGACTTTACAAAGAAAGAAAAATCTTTATTGAAGGACACTTCCTAGAACTTGCTTCTCTGAAAGAAGCTGTGGGGATTTAATGGGCTTGAAACCATCAAGAAAATCAGGACATGGCCAGAACAAGGACAGAAGAGTCCCTAATGTCAGTCTCACGCTACTGCTTTTGCTTGTGGAGGACTGTCACAAACCATCAGCCATCAGAAAAGCAATGTCAGACTCATTGCATGGTATTTGAGAATCGTCTCCATTTCTAACCAGTCTTGAGGGGAGGGGTTAGTTTTAGAATGAAACCAGTAGATTAACCAGGTGTCAGAAATCCCCCGACAGCCTGAGTGAAACCATCAGCCAGCCCTAACTTCAAGCCAGCAGAAACTACCAACCAGCCTCAACGTTTTCACCCCTAATCTGAGTGTTGCTTGTCCCATTGCAGTGACCGTTTCTCCATGAGCACAGTACTCAATGGAGACCTTTGAGGGTCCCCTCCAGCCCAAACTATTCTATGATTCTACTTGGATCATCTGATGTGTTTCAGTCATGAGGATGTGTTACTTCGGTGCTGGCAGCAACTTAGTCACAGTGAGGTCCTGGATACCAAAGTATCAAATTCCTTGAACAAATTTGAGTTTTATTTTGTGCACCAGGTGTTTGTCCCGTTAGATGTTAATACAAGACAGGCTCAAAACTCCTAAAGGACAAACCCTACTGAGTATTTTTGGTCCAGCCTTAGTCTAAGCAAAGTTCAGATATTGAGCTCTCTGGAGTGTATTCCCATCACCACCTGCAATTGAGGAGGTGAAAAAATCAAATCCAGCTATTAGCAGGACAGTGCTGTGGCAAAATAAATGCAGGCAGACATCAGTCTGTATTTCCTTGGTTTCTTGCCTAAGATTCACCCACCCTTCTCGTTGTTCTCTTTACTCCTTCCCATGTTTGACAGTGATGAGGCAAAATGTCCAGGGTATTTGCAGGGTAAGTAGCGTAGCTGGAAGGATGTTGAGGTCATGTCTGCTTATAAATGTCTGTGTTCCTCTTGGTATTTATCGTAGTAGGGTTCTGACTGCTGTCTCCAACAGCAAAGACAAGATGGCAAGTCCTGGATGTTGGGTTTATTCTTGTCAGGAGGTAGAAACCCTCAATACTGTCTCTTTGGATGAGCAGTGGAAACCAATAGTGGTATTGGCTGAAGTGGACACAATGTTTTAATTAAAGATCCAACTTTGTTATGTATATTTTTTAATATATATATATGCATTATATAGAGGATGCCTGATTTAGGCATCCTGAACTTTGTACTAGGGACTGACTCTGAAGTCTCTTTGAATGCTACTGTGGCACAGGAAGAGTTATTCACAGTGCCTCTGCTTGACTTTTCCTACCTGTGCATTGAGGTTACTGCTGCTTATGAAGCCCCCAGTAATAATGAACTACCAATAAGAGACTTGGAACATGTAATGAGAAGATAAAGAGGATCTATCTTCTTAAGGCAAGAATCTTAAGACAAAAAAGAATAATTGTTACCAATATTTACCAAAAATGATTTCCAAGTTGTCATTTAACCTTCAGAAATATCCGTATTTTTATTGCAGTGTTTCTGATGAATGTGCCCAGTTTAAAATGTTGGCTAGGCAGTTCAGCAGTGTAGCTGTATGAAAGGATGAGGTGAGCTTGGGGCAGTGATTTGTTGACTTGGAAAACAGGCGGTGGGTGATGAGCCAGCCTCTGATTTGGTGACAGTGCAGCAGGACATAGCTGGGACTCCCCTGTGTGCTGGTGGGAAGTTCTTGTCTCAAAGGTGGCTCTAGGGTAGCCAGGGGGTTTCCAGGCTGTTACAGGGGCTGGAAGCCATTCTGAACAGGGTTGAAAGGAGAGGAAAAACATAACTGAGATTGCAAAGAAAGAAAATTACTGCTTAATGTAAGCCAGCATTGTCTGATTGATGGGAAGTTGCAAAGATGCAGGTAACTTGCTGAAGGTGCCAGAAGGGGTAAAGGAGACTCCACATTCTGTTGAGGATTTTAGTCTCTACGGTGATTTAGAGTCAGTTATTTGACCTGTGGATCGCCAGTTGCCAAGTTCATCAGTGCTGAGCCAGCTCCTGCACTCATGAGAGGCGTAGCTCTGTTGATGTCAGTCTCTTGAAACCAAAAACCTTTGCAGAAAACTATAGTTTCTCCAGCTTCTAACTTATAGTTTGGACCAGATGATCCTTCCTCAGTGTTGAAGAGTTTATTTGAAGCCTATCTTTACACTGAGGAAGGGTCCATAAAGTAGATGGGAATCAGACTTCAGCTTTCCAGAAGTGTCTGACCAAACTGCTGTGACCAACCTGACCTTTGTGTGGGTGACCAGCTGTTGACCTTACACAAGTATGTCCCCTCTTCTAGCAGTGATGCAGTATGGGGCGACAGCACGTGGGTATGTGGTGGTCCTTCAGCATGCCAGGCTGGTCAAGCACACATGGCTGTGAAAGGCACAAGGGTTACATGGATCTGGAAGTGTCACATCATCAGAGGCTCAGGCTCCATCAGTACCAACCGTGGCACCTGAGTGGGAGGTTTGGGCTGAGGTTGTAATCAGTGTTTACTACCAGGAGCAATGGCTGCAGAACAGATCTGTGTGTGTGTGTAGTTTTGGAGCAGGTTTTGTGCCATGAGCCACACTATCACCTCACAGCATCATGGAGGTTTCCAACTTTCTTATTCCGGCAGCCATCTCCTTGAGGCGAATGACAAAACCAGATTCTTGATTTTACTGGGAGGTTATTTTGAGTTATTGCTGTAGGGGAGTGGAGAGCAGTGGTAATAATTTACATGAATACAGATATCTCTGTATTTCTTTACTACCATTCAAAGCATGAAAGGATTTATAAGGAAGATGTGCCATTTATCAAAGATAGTTTGAAAATACAGTTAATCTAAGCTTGCAGATAGCTCAGATGGGGTAATTTGTCAGGGACTGAACACTAACCTGTGGCCTACAGCATCTGCCAACTTAGAAATGAGGCGGTAACATCCAGATGCTTCCACCCTCATTCTTCACTGTCTTCACTTTGGGTCTGTTTTATCCACTCAGTAGTTCCTGGCTTGAACACAGTAACCTCTTAAAGGGCTTGAATGAATGGCCCCTGCCAGGTGCATAAGCATATTGTTTCTGAATCAGTATGCTCCCTGTCCACTGTCTTTGTGCCACTTGTTGCAGAAATCTCTCTAGAAATCATGTTTCTCCCTCTGGTTGGTTTCCTTGAGGGTACAGCTCATGCAGCAGCAGAGCAGACCCTCAGAGCCTTCGTCCCCTTTTGATCCCACAGCCCCTGGGGGCCTACAGGAGAGATTGGGCACAGGGAGGAGAGGTCAAGGAGGAATGGCTTTAACCTGCCAGGGGGGAGACTGAGATGAGCTCTCAGGCAGAAGCTCTTCCCTGTGAGGGTGCTGAGGCGCTGGCACAGGGTGCCCAGAGAAGCTGTGGCTGCCCCATCCCTGGCAGTGTTCAAGGCCAGGTTGGACACAGGGGCTTGGAGCAAGCTGCTCTAGTGGAAGGTGTCCCTGCCTGTGGCAGGGGTTGGAGCTGGATGAGCTTTAAGGTCCCTTCCAACCCAAACGAGTCTGGGATTCTATGACAAAACTCAAGCCAAATCCTACGGAACCTTCTTATGCCATTAATTCTGGTGGTTTGCACTGGTTGGCCTCAGAACTTGGTTCCAGATCCATGTAATTATGGCCCTCCAAAGGGCAGCAGCACCTGTAATCATAGGATCATAGAATCACAGATTAATTTGTGTTGGAAGGGGCCTTAAAGCTCCTCCAGCTCCAACCCCCTGCCACGGGCAGGGACACCTTCCACTAGAGCAGGTTGTTAAGCAGAAGGTTAAAGCTAGAAGCATGCATCGGCACTTCCCTGCTTCATCAACAAAAGCTACTGAATGATATGCTAAAAGGTTTTCTTAAGGAGGATGAGATGTTCCTTCTGGGAGTTAACAAGAAAAAGATGTAAAGAAGAAATAATCTCAAACACTCAGAGTAGATTCCAACATGGTGTTGACACAGTTCCACAGGGAGCACGGGATGCAGCAGTCCCTGCCAGATCTGGTCCATGGAGACATGGAGAGACAGTGATGCAAGGGGCTGCCTGCCATGCTGGGGATGTACATGCAGTGCCCATGGAGGTCACTTGTGCCCCAGGGAGAGGGTTTCACCCAGCATGTCTGTCTTCTACAGTTTCCCCTTACAGCACCCAAACCCCTGGAAGCCTGCACTTTCAGCTGCAAAACAGAGTATTTCAATGCAAACCCCAAATGCTTTGATCTGGAAGTGCTGCTAATACATTATGTGGGAGCTCTGGATGAGCTGCCTTGTGCTTGCTTTGATTTCTTCATGGGTAGGACTTGTGAGGGCAAGTTCCTTGTCCCATGGAGCACCCATAACCAAGACAGGGCAGTGGGGTGCA